TTTTTTTATACTTATTTGTAAGGTCTTTTTAATGTACGTGTAATGATTATTTTTACATTTTTAATAAAATCCTTTGAAAATTAAGATCCTGTGGCCTCGTTACACGAAGAAGATTCTTATGATGACATGTTATCAAATGCAGTACAACAAATGTGGAAAAATGGACTTCGAAATTTGAAAAAAAAGTTAGCATTCAATACAGCACGAGGTAATCAAAATTATGTGCAGTTTTCTATATCAACATATTGTTACTCTAATGGTACATGTACTATACGTCAGGCTCCATGCTCTTGTGAAATTGTAAGTACTCATAGTATTAGATTGAGTTCATCTTTTTATGAATTTTTGATTCGATATAATTATTGATAACCAACTAATTACACTAAATAGAACGATAATGATGAAACATTACGAAACGTTAAACCTAATAAAAATATAATTAATCAAGGAAAATCTCAAAAAACAACTACAAAAATTCCACTAACTACTCTAATTTCAAAGAAGCAGAAGGTGCAAAATAACAAAACTACAAATATACCACCGATTACTCCAAGTTCAAAAAAAAAAAAGGTGCAAAATAATGAAATTACTAAAAGACCACTTATCACCCAAAGTACAACGCAGCATAAGGTGCAAAATAAAAAAACTACTACTAAACCACCAGTTAAGAGCACTCAGTCAAACAAGCTGATTGAAGGACTTACCAATTTCGAAATTAATAATATCAGAAAACAACATTTAGAACAAACTAATAAGCTTAGAGCCAAACATGGAGCCAAAAAGTTATCTATTAATGAAAAAGTAAGGAATAAAATACATATGTATCACGTAATGAAAATGTTATAATAAAATATTGTACTAAAATCTATTATTATTGAATTACTAATTACGAACATAATTTGATTGTCTGGCATTTATTACAATGACTATACAATTTAATTTATTATCAATAAATTCATAAGTTTGTTCAGTGTAAAATTTTTTTTCATAGTTTAAAATATAAATTTAAAAACTTTTAAATTAGAATTATTATAAGTATTGGCTGAATCAGCATCAACAGAAACACTCTTTTCTATTTTGATGAAAATCTTGTGTAAAAGAGATGTGATTTGCAAAATGTGTACTGACCTAATTGTTTAAAATAAAGAAAAAATATATGTATGGATCATACATTTAATACTAGAGAAGTTCCGGGTAGTAAATACATTTATTAATCAAGTACCAAGTAAAAAAATGGTTACAGACAGAGTACCAGGTAAATGTAGGATAGTAGAAATTTTAATTGTAATATTATATTAATGAAATAAAAAGGTTAAAACATTAACTTTACAATATTATCTTCTGNCGTTATTATTACAGGTTTTTTCTGTATTGGTGCTTAGTAGATCATGTTCTATTTTTTGTACGTTTTGATCTAACCAAAATTCTTTTGCTAGACGTCATTTTGTTGTTACTTCGTTTTTTATCTGATTATATAAATTGTAATCTCTGTTCCTTAATTTGTTCTTTTTTTCAATGAATACAAGAATTTTTCCAGTCATCTACGGTTTCCTCGGTTCTATTTTATTTTTAATTATTTTATCTGCAACTTTAATTATGTCCATCTTCATACTATCACTGAGTTTGATGTTCCTATTAAGTGTGATGGCTGTAACGTTCTAACACATAACAAATGCTCAGGTCTTAATAATAGTGAAATAAAATGTCTTGGTTTGAAGAATCGAAATTTGAAATTCTTTTGCGAAGCATGCAATAAGGGTTTGCGTGATATGCCCGAGCTTAAACTATTAATTAATCGTTTATTAGCTGAAGTTAATGAACTAAAGAGTCAGAAGAAAAATAACAACGTTCAAAATTTTTCTGAGTTTATAATTGGTGAAGTAGGCGAACGCAATATCAGAGCATCTAATCTAATATTTTATAACGTTCCAGAGTCCAACCTTGATAATGCAGTCGACCGTCTGATTATGCATTGATAACGCATGACTCTAATCTTGTGAGTAATGTAATTGATTCGATTATTACTAGTGGGAATATTAGACCGTCTAAAGTTATTCGTCTTGGTATTCATGGTAAAAATAATCCTCGTCCAATTAAGGCTGTTTTTAGCACACCAGCTGATGTGTTTGAAATATTGAAGTCAAAAAAAAAAAAACCCAGCACAGTGGGGTCGTGGCATAGTTGGTTCCAGTATAGATTTAATCTGGCAGTGATTAAAATCACTATCATAAAAAACGCTTCGATGCAAATCTGTAGATAGTGTTTAATTTTAAAATAATGGTGTATTATACCAAAAGCAAAATTAATTCCTATTTCCTTTATTATTCCTGATTAGTAGTTTTTTGATTTAGAAGTATAATATATGAATAAATATTTATTATAGCAATTAAAAATCTGCAGGTAGTGTTTAATTATTTCAAAAACAACATCAACTTCTATTTCTTTAATTACAGCCTGATTAGTAGTTCTTTGATTTCTAAGTATAATTTTTTTCGTATTTATACCTATTTTTCTGTTCTTGATTTTTTTGTGTACTACTTAAAATTTCTATTACTTCATTAAAGTATAAAACTTTACCCATTACATATATGATTTAATTCCTAAATTTTAGCCTATTGTAACGATATGAATTTATAATTTTTCATAGTTCAGCCTATTAGCGTTACCCAGGAGACACCACGAGGAGGTTGGCTGTTAAGTCTCCCAAAAATTTTTTTTAGCTTCGATATGAAGCAGAGAAGGTATTTTACTCTTATATTGTCTTGAGCTAAAAATATTTAAGTTGAATTAATACAAAATAAAAGAAGCTAAAATTTACTTAATATCGTCAACATAATTACTCAAAAGATCAAGGTAAAAATTTAAAACGTTTTATGAAAACAAAATTTATATCCATTTATCTATCAGAATTATAGATTTAAACTTTACACTTAAAATAAACTATATTGATAAAAAATGGGTTTTTTATGGAGACGACGATTTGCTGTTAATTAAAAATAAAATTTTTATAATAAATATTTTTACTTAATTATTAGTCTTGTCACATAAAATACAATAGAAATCAACATTTTTATAATCATTTAGTCTATACTGATCAGCTATACAATCAGTTACTACTCGACGACGACATGTAGTGCATGAAACCCATTCAATTCTGCTGTGATGTTCTATATACTTTTGGCAATATAAACATATGTTTTCCATGTCACCTGAATTTTCTAGCAATAAACTTTTTAATTCGTTTCTATAAGTATTAGGGTTGAACTTCTTGTCAAAATGTGATTTATTCATTATTGTGATAGCGTAGTATATTATATAAACTCCACAGTTATAAGCATCAACTTGTTTTGGTATGTTTTTGGCTTTACATTGAACCAATGATACTCGAGGGATAGGTTTTTTAGCATAAGTACAATGTTTTTTCAAAGCTCTATACAATTTTTGAAACTTTTGCTGATTGTATTTTGTATCTTTAGTAGGATTCATAGGGTCCAATATGTAACACTCTTTAAGTTGGAAATTAATTATTGCAATAATCCAATGATTCAATTTTGATAATTTTATATGCCACGGCATAATGACTACACTATTTTCTTCAAAATTATATCTAATTTTCTGTTTTTTATTTAACTCTGTACTACTTAAAATTTCCGTTACTTCATTACAGTATAAAACTCTAAATTCTGCCTGATTTTTGATAGCCTTTATAGCCAAACAAATATCAATCACAAAGTTGCTAAGAAAGTTATCATCATACAGACACATAAAATCACTTATTTCTAATGTTTGTATAGTATACATTGTGGAATCAGGTATAATATGATAATAGGTTCCACAAATAAAATTAAATAGTTTAATTTTGCTATATATTAATTTTTTAACTATATTTGTATGGTCTTCTACCTGTCTGTAGTATTTCAAATTTTTTGGTAATTTGTTATAGTAAAAATCATTTCTTAAATTATGATCTTGAGTTTCATTTAAATATAATAATGGACTTTTTTGGATTTGATAATCGTCATCAGTTATACTTAATGACCGATTGAACAAATCTTCCATTATTGCTACATCATCAGGCACCTTAAGTGCATAATCATCTTCTTCGTGTATAACTAATTGCAATATATTGTTCTTATTATCCAATAATACATTAGATCTATTTTTCTTTGATGGACTATTTAGACTGTCTAATTTTTTGACAGATGTGTTATCCTTTTTTAGAATAATTAAATACGCCCCTTTTCCATTATTTGGCCATCTTTTTTCAGACACATTTTTATCATCACAACATATCCATCTAGACTTTTCTTTTAAATATACGATGTAATGTCCAGATTTAGTGTCATTGCCTATATGAAATATTGTAACTGACGGTGTATAAATAGAATCTTCTATTGTAAATCGAGATTTGGACAAATTTTTTAATTTTAGATCTGTTGTTTTACTAATTATATATTGACCATTTATCCAACTAGAATTGAATAATGACAACTGTAATATCAAATAATCATTTGCTTTTATTATTTCATGTCGTCTTTTGAAACCACCTGTTTTATTACAGTTTTGACAAGAATAATCATCAATGGATGTCCATTTTTTTTTATTAAATTCAAGTAGACTTTCTAGTTCTATACTGTGGTTTCGATTAGAAGGTAATTCTAAACGTTTCACAAGATTGCGTTCCTCTGAACTACAAGTTTTTTTTTTACAATAATCGCAGTAGTTTATACAACTTTCAGTAAAACTAAATAAGGTATCACTTACACTACGGTTACAGTTCATTAAAGCTTCCATAAATTCTACACAATCCTGTTGTTCCTTCCTAGTAAAAATCGTGTTGTTTAAAGTGTCATCCACGTATTTTCTTATTTCAAACGTATCAGTCACTTCATTTTTTTCATAACCAATAAGCTGTTGTTTCAATATTTCTCCAGCTTGGCCTTTATGAATAGTACTTACAAACGTATCACAATGATATAAAGCTTGAATAACAGAGTTGGAATAACATGATACATTATCTATATTAGCAAAGCCAATGATTTGACGAGAAATTTTTACATTATCTACGTTTATTTTATTTTTCAAAATACTTTTTTGTACGATTAATGCATCATTGTCATCGATGATACTCATCGAACGATTAAAAATATCTTCAATCATTTCTACGTCATCTCCAGGCACGATAAGAGCGTCATCTCTATCTCTGTGTACAACTGATTGCAATGCAATATCAATGTTTTTATCTAAATCCTCTGAAAGTCGTAATTTTTCTTTTAGTGGTGGTACATAATGATTATCAATCCTTTCATCGCTATTAGATCGGGAAGAAAGTTGTATTTCTTTGTTCACTAAAACCAAAGGTCTATGGTCACTCACTAAACTTTCATAAACAATTACATTAAAATCAGTGTTGGTTATGACATTGTCAATACAAGTACCATAGTCTGTTGTAATTTCATTGACAAGTATTTTATACTTCATTTCTTCTATAATTTTATTAAAAATATTTGGAATTTTATAGAAATTTATATTGAAATCCCCAATAAAAATTATGTTTTCTCCATTAATATCAATTATATTTTTTAAGCATTCACACATTTTGTTTGTAGGAAATTTAGGCGAAACATATAATCCGACATATGTGTAATTATCAAGGATAACACAAATAATTTCCATGTGTTCTTTGTTATGAGTAATAACTAAGGGTTCACTTGACTTGAAAATATCACGTATATTATTATTTAGGAAACATATTGAACCACTTTTGCCATTGTCATGCACTTTGTTGATCCTACATATCTCTGTGAATCCTTCAATGTTATAAAAATCATTTTCTGTTGTTCCAGTTTCTTGGAAAAATAGTATATTTGATTTTAATAATATTTTATCAGCAAGTATGTGTTCGAAATATTTGTTTAGTGATCTTATATTGTGTGAAACACAATATATCGACAGATTGTCTGATGTTAAAAATGA